CTGCAACACAATTAGTATTTAGTTAACGTTAACGTTACTAACTAAGACATAGGTAACGGACGAAACTACGTACGCTACGAGTGAGGTAGTAGTCTACGTTTCTTAGTCTAAGTTAGTCAATACTAACTACTCCTCTCTCTCTCTCTCTCTTACCTAACTACTCTCTCTCTCTCTCTCTCTCTCTTACCTAACTACTCCTCTCTCTCTCTCTCTCTCTCTTACCCAAATCCTCATCTCTCTCTCTCTCTCTCTCTCTCTCTCTCTCATCTGCTTGCAAATGCCTCATATGGGGCCACAGACTAGTGCGTATGTTCGAATGTGTGTATGTGCATGCATGTGCTACCGTGCATGTTGTGCTACACCGATGAGGCATCTTCCACAAAATTGGTCAAGCAATAAACTGGAAATACTGGCTGACTCACAATAAGAAATTGCTTCAGATTTCTTCCACATGCAACATCTTGAAGAAAACCCAAAACCAGATTTACTTGAGCTCCAGCTGAGACAGCCACGTTCACAAATAGCTCCTCGGGCAAAGTAATACGAGGTACTTCGGGTGGAGATCTATTGGAAACCAAAAGCACAATTAGAATAACCAGTCTTTTATACCTTTATAATTGTAAATATACTCAGCAAAATTGCTCTTAAACAAATTGTCAAGCTGAAATATCCTAATATATACAGCTGCTTACCTGCTGATCATACCCGATGCGTTGGACCACAGGAAAAGAATCAACATACCAAGAACCAGTCCAAAGCATACAAGCGACAGAAAGTGATAATTAAGCCATTCAAAGAGAACCCAAACCAATGTTGCCCCAGTTAAGACACTTGAAGAGATCTTCTTGTTCCTCCATAGCAATACATCAGCAGCTGCATATTCCAGTAGAAAGCAGTTAAGCATGAGTAAAGAACCCATAGTCATAACATGCAATAATGAAGAAAAAGAAAACTATAATCCATTGGACAGTGGAAAACCATGATCCATCAGGTTCATCACTGTCAAATGAAATGATGGATGGTGTTGGAGAAAGTGGAAACCACAATGGGGTTCATGTCTGATCAATGGATTCCTCTATCGCCGTCAAAATTCACTATTTTAGGGAGATTTATCAAAACACACAAGAGAACAACCATTTAACATTTTAACCACATATCTTTTAATTTATTGTCAAAAAGATAAACATGAACACGAGTCGGAATAGTTAAAGAAGGGTCAATTGTTAAATTATTGATAAGCTAGATGTATTTTGATAAATTTCCCATTATTTTATTGGATGGTATCTCCAGCAAACAAAGAAGTGAATGCTGTGACCAAAGGGACTATCATGTTCAAAGTTCAGCTGGCTTATGTGGTCTATTCTTCACAAAAGATACGTGAAATAACACAAGGCAGAGAAAAATAATGACATGCACAAGGACGCACCAAACAAGCTCGTGTGGAAAACATTTCATGAAAAACTCAGCAATGTAGAATAAAAGAGATGATTTCTCACATTTTCCACCCCCGAGAACCTTATGAACAGGCTTTTCACGTCCGAAAAGTCTATTGAACTGGGAAGAAATAGATGATTCTTCCTCAGCAAAGGGCACTGTTTTCTTCTTTGCAATACTTTCACCAACCGTTTCGAGAACATTGTTCAAAAGGTTCTCAACTCCAGAATTCTCAGGCATATTTCCTTTTCCTGTCACAGAAGCACAAGACTCAAAAAATGAAAAGTCCATAAAACGCCCACATTATTCCAACTTGCTGCATGGTTTTGAAGTTTTGACAGAAATCTGGATGAAGTGTTATCATATCAAAATAGTGTTTCCCTCGTATTACTGAAAGTAGTGGAACAGTTGAAACATATGAAATATGAAAAATCATATATGTCAATAAGGATAAAGAGGAAAATCAATATAAACATGAATTTTGATCTCCTCAATGGAATCTTGAGAACCCATTAGCCATCAAAATTGCACGAACCATCGACATATTTTATTTTATTCCCAAACAACTATTCTGATATCCAAAATAGCATCACCAAAATCCCAGATGCCATGGAAAACAGTACATGCAATAAACAAGTTCAACCATGTAAAACTACCAACAGATTTCGAATATGTGGTAAAAGTTACAATCTTAAATCACAAGATCTTGAAATCTATACAATAATAAGTTACAAACCATAAACTGTCATGATGATCCCATCCATGTTTTAACTTTCCATTTACAAACAATGATGGATATTGATATGTAAACTTAGATAGCGGGTAACCCTAGGTCACCTCTGTCTTCCATTACTTCCAGGAACTTCTTTGATTAATAATAAAATTCATAGTTCTCACTGTGTCTTTTAGTACATCTAACTTACAAACTACACACATTGTATATAAACAATAAACTCAAATATATAAGAGCCATAATCCATAATAGCCTTACAGTTCACATGTCGGTACTTTGGTTAGCTTATGAACAAAATAGAAGTTCTGAGTTTTCTCATAAAGACAGAAAGGGAAAGGTTGGCATTATTTAATTACTTTCATCCTTCCATTCTTATTTAAAGGATAAAAATAAAAAAACATGAAGAATCTAAATTTTCAAAATATTTTACCTTCCTTTTGTTGTTCTGATAGATGATTTACAGACTCTACAATTCACAAGAATCAGAATGCTCAGTATTCACATCATTTAACAATTTCTATCAATTGACTTCTATAATGAATAAGAAAACTAATAAAAACCCAAATCCTAAGATTCCACATTCATTTCAACAACTCTCAAATCGTTTCTTACTAGCTTTTCTAGATAACACGTATACTTGTAACAAGAGCAATCATGAATCGCATTGTTAACATTGTTGCTGATCTGTGATAAAATTGAAGTTCATAAAAGGAAGGGAAAAATATCAAAATACACCAAACTTATTCATGACTTAACATTTTACCTGTTTTCAACTATTCCAACTCATAATCATGTTCCATTTTGATGGGGTTTTTGAACAAAAAAATTAGTAAAATGTCAGATAGTTCATCTTTTAGGTGTATTTTGATAGATTTCCCTAAAAGGAAAGACCAAGAGTTCACATCGTTTAGCTTCTTCCAGACGCTGTAACCAATTTTGATAAAAGCAGGTTTAAAAGCAAGCCTCAGGCCATCCCATAATTCAACTTCAATAAATAGCTTTCTTCTCGTTTATGATAGGTTAAAGTTTGTAAGAAGCAAGATCCAAGTATTAGTGTAAATGTCCAATTTAATTAATCAGATGATGTTCAGCCCAAGAAAGATCATCTTAGTGTGCATTGTCAAATTGTCGAGTCAAGGTAAGAAGATCCTTGCCAGCTATTTTTAAAAATGAGAAGAGATAAAGTGCCATGGTGTCTTAGCGTTGGAAGGATACCTAGGAAGGTAGAGGTAAATGATTTACTTTCTTTTGAAGAAGTATGAGGGAAAATATATTATTCAGGGATAGTGGAATAACAGGAGTTGGAGTTAGGAGCCAGGAAAGACTATTAAGGTGAGATCTTTCTATTAAGATTATGCCATTCAAGAGGAGATTATGTATATCCCTACTGCTTCCTAGATTTCTTCCTCTCTCCAACTGGTAACATCTGGGAAAGGATAATACTCTCATAGGTCTTAACTATCTCCCTAACTGGATTTCCAATCTCAAAACTCCTGTTTTGTGCAAACTGCAAAGACACTAAAAAGACACTAGAGAACCTTTTTCCTCATACCATCTATTTAATTGGAGTTCAAATCACTTCCTAAACCTACTTGGCAGCGAGTTTGCCCAAAATCTCAGTGCAAATTTCATTGTGGTCTTTCATTCCTTTCCTTGACATTAGCCATTTCCCTTGCACATGTTGTAATTGGGTATATTTTGTCGGTCGCAGAAGGAACGGAACTATCATCAGGAAAAAGACAATAGTAGTTTAAAATAGTTAAGGAAAGAATCATTTCATCGGTTTATGGTTTGTGGGCTGCTGAGGTTAATGGAACAGCCGCATTCATGGTTCCAGGGCATGGAAAAAAGTTGTGGACCAAATTAATTCAAACACCACTTCATGTGTCATGATTTGGGGGAACTTAAGGCACAAAATGAAGAAAAAATAACACAGAAATGGAGAATAGTGGAATCTAGTGAAAATCCCCATAATAGATTCAGCACAGTTTGAAGTTCCCTCCACCGGAAGTCTATAGGATCAAATTTGATGGATTTTACTGTGAATTTAAACAAGATAAATTGGGCAGTTCCATGAAGAGATCTTTGATACTGAAAGTCACAATAAATTCTCACTGATTTATAGTTCACTGGTAAGGAAATCCCACTTGTATGCATTTCTTGTATAACATTGCTTTCTAGTTCCTAATTTCTCTAATTTTGAGAAGCAGAGCTCATTGTAACCAAGAAAACATAACCATTAAAATCAACCTTATTCAGCTAACTATAGTGACTGATAAATATCAAATTCATAGGAGAAAAAACCCTAAATATTTACATCACTACACTGCACGGACTAACTGCGATCTTGAAAAGAAGCAAAAACCATAATAGTCAACATAGTTGGGAATTTGCTTACAGGTTCTATGAAGAAATGCGATTAACTAAGTAGGATAGCCATAGATTCAAACCAGGAAACATCTATAATTCAAGATTTCCATGAATTTTAGAGAGAGAATATGAAAATCAAGAGAGAGAAATGAGTTGAGATTAAATGCCTGTAAACGCAACTGTAATGGCGGACTTTGCATGAATTAGAGAGTTGTGGTTGGATCCAAGTCCTTATATATAGAGGCGGCTAGTGGAAAGGTACCTTTTAATTATGAAAATATCAGGAACAGCCCCAGGATTTGTTAAAGGGCAATGATTTGATAGGCCCGCAGCCCTATTAAAATAAATTCGGACGAAGTTTTTATAAAGCCCGCGTTATGAAAATAAAATAATTTTCATAAAGCCTCACCAAAAATTTTTGTTTAGAAAGCGCTTTCCACAACTGAAATCTCCGCAATGGCTCTAAAATCAGTTTCTGACAATAAAATTTGGAACGAAACTTAAAAACTGATAGAGATCTTACAAATCTATGAACATTTATTTTTAAGACGAAATTAGTGGACTAGATAATTTGTTACTTTATATATTATTTTTAGAACCCAAAATCATAATTTTTTTCACAACCATAATGTTCAACCCGGGATGATCAAAGAAAAGGTTGTCAAATACTTGAATTCCAAATTTCAATGAGTTATGAGGTGAGGCTTTATTTATTTTGATAGGGGTATAGCTCTATCAAACCATTTTTCAATAAATAAATCATCACCTCATAATTCATCGAAAATAGCAACTCAAGCATTACAAAACATTTACATCACAGAAAAAAAAAAGGATTTCAAAGCTCTAAAAATAGTGAATAATATAATAAATTATCTAGACCATCCATTTCGTGCTAAAAATAAATATTCACATATCTACAAGATCTATACCATTTTGTGAGTTTCAGATTTTATTGCCGGTATTGAACATTGATTTTAGAGTCATGATAGAGATTTTTTTTTGCCAAAAGTATTTTTTGGACAAGGATTTGAGGCGAGGCTTTACTTTGTTTTTATAAAGCCTTGGTTAAAACTTTAGCACTTGTTCTACCATGGACTATCGACTTTATTTTTGAAAATATTATAAAATAAGATCATTTTATATTTGGTATATGGAGGGCACAGGTAATCTTGACCATTTGATGCAAAATTGGGCAGTTAGATTCGTTCCATTGACCAAGCTCTCAATTTAAAAGATATTTTTCAAATTTTATAATATATCTAAGCTATTGGATTTTACATTGAATAGTTATATATAATTATGATCTCCTTGTACCAAAGCAAATAGTCTTGTTATATATAATAATTATTTTTATGTAACCAACGGTGAATATAAGAAGTACATGCTTCATTGTATTTAGAAAAATTTGTCAAAATATATATTAGATATTGACTATTTAACATTTTATACATATTTTTTTATTTAGTTTCAAAATGTCCATCAAAATACGCATAATTTGGTGTTGGAATAGTAGATAAGGGCTAGAATAATAAATAGTTAAAAAGTTTGAAATGTATTTTGATAAATTTTCCTTGTATTTATTTTGGCAAATACATTTAACGTGCTTGATTGGAATTGTGATAAATACCCGTGTTTAAAAAATAAGTGGTTTTATTTGAGATCGTCTGAGTCGAATCGAAATGAGTACATAACCGGTCCAATTGTTTCCCCAACTCAAAAATGGGCCAAATCATCATCATCGTCAAAGCCTCTTCTCAACCGCTTAAAAATTATAATAAAAGAAGTTTTTAATTATGAAAGTGTTGTTTTGAGAATGATTTTTAATTTCTAAAATTATTTAATATTTTGATTTTTAAAAATTTAATTATTTGAACAGCAGGGCCAGTGACCAACTTGGTCAAATTCACTTGGAACCAACGGGCAACTGGCTCAACCCGCTTGTCCGATTTTTCAAATATCATTGAGTAGACAGATGGTGTATCATTTACAACAAGGCATGGTTTTTATGCGGCCAGCCCGCATATTGTAGAAATGCGGACTTGGCAATAAATCTAGTTTTTAGATATAATTTGATCCTAAGTTTGAGATAATATATAATTTTTAACATGGAGATCATGAATATGAAAAAAATAGTAATAATAATAATTATTATTATTATATTAAAAAAATTTAGACCGTAAATTACAATTATTTTTAGATGGACCTCCTATTTGCATTAAAGATGGATGCTTTATACCTTTGGACTGTGTAGAAATACGATCCAGCTCGCACAAATCAATTTTCTTCCAATAATACAATTGGTGGGGTACAATGTACTGTAAGTTTCATTACACCATCACATGTGAATACTTTACTTTTGTGAGCACCACAATTATGTACCGTGGAGACGGGAGATATTCACCCATTAACGTCTGGTGTGCAAAAGTGCAATAAAACAAGTGTTTGCCCTAATACATAAAACTTATATACTTCCTTTTATCCAACCCTTCATTTTCAATGGAGGGTTAAGATTGCCTCAATGACAATATCACGTCTTCACATTATTTTATTTTTAATGTTTTTTATATAAACTATTTGACACCAAATTTCGCACGTCCAACCCTCTATGAAACTCGCACCAGCGAAAAATATAGAACAAATATTTCCAATAAAATAAAATGATCAAAATGCTCTTGAAAGCTTCAAAGGGTATTTTGATTATTATATTTTATCGAAAAATTATTTTTAATATTTTTTATAGGTGAGCCCCAATGAGAAGATGGCACGTACCAAATTTCTTATTCATGCAAAGTCTATAAAAAAAACTAAAAATAAAATACGTTAAGACGTCGGATCTAAGATCAAACGGTGAGTAGCTCTTTTGATCAAAATTGTATGGCTGGATAGTAGGAGAAACATAGATCATCGGAATTGTAGGAGAAGTATAGAATCCTTTCCCATAAGGAGAAGTACATAAACCTTTCCCATAAAAAAAAAAGAGTATATAAATATAATCCTTTTTAATTATTAAAAAATGTAAAAAGGATAAGGAAATTTGCCATGTGAAATGGTCATTCTTGTTCTTTTTAAATAGAAAGTTACGTTTCAATAAAAAAAACAATATGAATATGTAATGCTATTGTTTTAAAATTCAGATTCGTGGGTTGGATTTGCCCCATAAATTTATGTCTGATAGTTGGATCGATGTTTCAAATCTATTTGATTCATATTGAATATTTTTATTTATATACGATGTGTTTCATATTCTAAATCCATAAAAAAAAATAGTGCAAACTCACATATACAAAGACGCATGGGAGACAATAAAAAAAATTATAATTTTAGCACCCATATTCATGTTCTTCTTTTATTTTAATGTTGGCTTCATATTACTGAATTCTGACTATAGAAAAGATACCTAATGTTCCCCAAATAATCTTAAATAATTCAGTTTAAAAGTCACATTTTTTGGGTTACTTTATATTTCTCTTTCTCGACGAATGCACCTTCTTGCGAGTTACGACTGGGAACAATTATCTCTTTCTAGGCTACCTTTTCATTTCCACAATATCTCTCTCCACAATGGCATTCTTTCTCTCTCTAAAACTCTCTCTACCAGGAACCTACTACTCGGGCTGAGTGATCGGCCCATGACGGATCCAAGTACTCGGATCGAGTCGGAGCGACTCAGCTCGAGTAGTGTTGAGTACGGTAGTGACAAAAAATGATTAAAACATACAAATTTTTTTTAAAAAAAGAAATATATGTTTAAAGTAAGATTAAACAAAATAAATAAATAATGAGTTTAAAAAAACAGTAAAAATATATATTTAAAAAATCAATTGTGATAGGATATTTTTTAAATAATCTAAAAATGTAAAAATAAATATTTATGGCAAAACATTTGCTAATCTTTGTCGAAACGATAGAAAACATAAAAAAATATCCCAAATAAATTTTTTAGTTTTAAAATTTTTATTTATTTTTTAACAATTTCACTATAAAAGTCTCTCTCCACAATCACACAATCTCTCTTTCTCAAACTCTCTCTCTCCACAATTACGCACTTTCTAAAAGTCTCTCTCTCTCTCATTACAAGTTACCTTTGCATTTTAGGGACCCTACAAATTCAGGAATAAGGATCTTATTACGCTTTATTTCACGATTCACTAGCAAGGAGTAGAGAGCAGGGAGTATCTCAATTGATGTCTTTTTTTTTTTTTTTTGGATAGTTCAAGTGGTCAGAGGTCTTTTACCCATGATAGGAATAAAATTCGGATGCTGACCACTAAGCCTTAAAGCCATTCCTAATAGGTGTGCTATTTTCATAAATTTAGTCAACACGCACTTTTATATATATTTTTAGCATACGGTATCATATCACATAACTTCCTTAGGTAAATGGCCGCCGGAGAAAAAAAATTTATCTTAAATTTTAGGATACACTTTAGACTCATAAGATGTTTATTTTCAAAAAGATAGATGTAAACAGTTTTGAGTTCTTAAACATTTAGATCTGGCTGTCCAAAAATTTTAAAAGTATCTAGTTGATTTTAATGTGTTATTTCTTCTAATAAATAAAGAGTGCATTTGATTTATTTTTTTTAGATTGATCGCAAAATTAAAGAGTTCTTATCTCCATAACTTGAGGTCTAAAATGATCTCTGGTTGGTTTTTATGGGAGGGAGTGAATGGAGGAATGTTATTGTGGAATGCCTATTTTGCTTTAGGAGGGTGGTTCCGGGTACAACCTTTGTAACTTCATGGTATACCCATAAATTAGCTAGCTCCTATATGGAAGGATACAATTTTTTAATCACCGCAGTTTTTACTCCTATTGATAGTTTAGCACATTTTTTGTTGCTACTGCGGGTCCTGAAGCACAAGGACATTTTACTTGTTGGTGTCAATCATGGAATCATTAATTTTCTCTCGTGAATAAATAGGTTTTAACTTTGCTACTACCAATATTGTGCTCTCACGGGATCAAACTATGCACTTACATTGTCAAGCCAAAAACCACTTAGAAAGATTTTTTTTTTTTGTTTGACAAAGTTCAAGATTTATTAATAATAGAAACCAATTACATCGAGGATTCAAAATCATCAGTAACCACCGGAGCTTCCAACTCAACTCCCCTTTTAGCCAACAAATCAGCCAAAACTTTAGCCTCTCTATACACATGTTCTAGTGACATCGTCAAACCTGACATTAAGTCGAAGATTTGCAGGCCAATCAGTTTGAGTTGCAAAGGGAATC